CTATGTAGAGGCATCATGATGATGGGTGCACGTATATCCCGAATAATATAAAACAATACGAATCAAAATAAAGATGAACACGGTTGACATTTCAGGATATAGATAATTTCATCAGCGTTAACCGTACTGAACATATAATCAAAGTACTAACATATACATTAGTTGTGGTATAAACTATGAATAAATTATGTGACAACAATGTAAGAATAGAAAAGAAAATAGGAAATAACTATAGCTGTTATGTCTAATAACAGTCAATGAATGTATAGCCACTTAGAATGCCAAGATCTTTATTAAGGCGTTGTTTATGGGTATTGAGGTGTAAAACCCAACGCATCTCAGCACATCTTCTGGCTTTCGTTGTTATGTAACCATTGCCTATAATAATTAATCTAAGGTTAGATATTGAGTGGCCCGGTGAGTTAAAATTCTCACTGACTGTAGATTTTCTATCTTTTTCTAATGTAGCTTTTATGATTGTTCATTCTCGATCTTATGCTACAACCAGTTTCACCTACATAATTACCATTATTGCACAAATTACAAAAAATGAAATACACAACATTGGAAGCTAAGCAGTCTAACATCGGGGGCCGTATAAAGTGACTAGTGCCCGGTACTACAAACTTAATATCAGTATTGATGATAGTGCAAAGTTTACACCTTCTATTACTACATGGTCTGTTGCCCTTTTCCTGGTTATGAGCCGGAGATAACAGTCTAGACGACGTTAATAGAGACTTAAGGTTGCGGGGCTGGCGTTGAGCTAGTACAGGTATGCTTTCAAATGCAGATTTAATAGTGGGGTCTACCTGAAGAGTTTTGTAGTCTTGTTTTAATGTGTTAGCAAATGAAGTAATCATAGGGTTGTAATAAAAAATCATAGTTATGCGATCAGAGGTAGATTTATTCTTGTAAGTAAGGAGTTCCTGGCGGGTTTTAGATGAGGCCTTTCTAATTGCTGATTTGATGAACTTAAGTGGGTAATGACATTTAAGAAAATGGCTAATCAACAATGAAACTTGCTTCTGGTAGTCGTCAGGTTCAGAACATATTCGCTTAAGGCGTAAACATTGACTGTATATAACAGATTTCTTTAACGATGTCGGATGGAAACTCCTGAAGTCAAGGTACTTTTGGTTGTCAGTCGGTTTACTATATACAGAAGTACAAATTCGGCCATTCTAATTTAACATTAACATCTAAAAACGCAATTTCCTTGTGAGAGTGCTCAATAGTAAACTTAATAGAAGGATGATAATCATTAATAAAAGACTTAAATTCTATAAGTTTATCTAAGCCATGATTCTAAATGAAAAATACATCGTCTATATATCTAGAGTGATAGTCGGGTTTATGAGTTAGATTGGCCATTAAATTCTCTTCAAGTTCCCATATGAATATATTGGCATAGCTATAGCTTAGTGCCCATTGCAGCCCCTTAATCTGTAAGTAATGTCTGTCTTTAAAAGTGAAGTTGTTGTGGGTTAAAATGAATTTAATAATGGCACGTATATCGGCGGCAGGTTCACTAGGTGCAAATTTTCGGATGAACGACTCAAAGGCGGCTAATCCTTGATCATGCGGTATATTGGTGTATAATGTTGTTACATCCTTGGTTACGAGCAATGCGTTTGCGCTTAGATTCGGTATATTGTTGATCTTGTTTAAGAAGTGAGTAGTGTCCTGCGTGTAACTATTAATATTGGTGAGCATAGGGTTGAGTACGGAATCAACAAATCCTGATAGTCGTTCAGTTAGAGTTCCAATTCCCGAAACGATGGGTCTCCCGGGGAGTGAAACATTGAGCGATTTGGCAGGATTGTAGATTACATCGGGATTGTTAGTTTCAGTTATATCATATTCGGTGTGCAGAGAGGTTTGTGATTCCTTTATAAGTTTGGGAAGCTTGTGAAGTTTAGTTTAGGTAAACAATAAATCAAACCTGGTTTCGGTAGTTCAGGCAGTAGTGATTTAGCAGTGGACTTCATATATATATATATATATATACGTATATATATATATATATCTGTCTCTTATACACATCTAGATGTGTATAAGAGACAGGATTAGAAGCGTTTGGACGTTGGATATCGCAAGAGTTACTTTGCAGTGGTAGCTCCAGAAAGTTGCCGACAGCGGGTCCGACAATGGGGTCTGAACCAAGGCACCGACTAAAGCCTCGGTCAGGGTCCCGATAAGAATTCCTGGTAGGGTACATGGGGAAAATTTTATGTCTTAGTACTGGCAATTTTTAAACCACAATATTAGGAATTATCAATCAAAAATAACGTTATTTTGGCAAAGTAATATTTTTGATCCGACAAGGTCGTCGTGGAGTCAGACGACAGGAGTCCAGGCCTGTCGGACTGGAGAACTCCCCACTCCACTGTTACTTTGTGGCGGATCAAGGAATTCGAAATAGAGGGAGTCCAGAGAGGGACTTTCACAAATGGAGGGTCTAGACCCTAGAGGTTTTATGATTTATGACCTCTAAACGGCCGAAAATGGCACTCTCAGATTTGAATTTGAATATAATTTTATTTAATTTTGTCCTCCATTGTATCTTCCACTGCGCTTCATTACCGGTCATTAGATCAAACAGAGAACACAAACACAGTTTATTGGGAAGTAAAAAAGAAATTATTTCATAAAATATAAATATATTCGAATCTGTAGTTTAATGTAAATTACCATTTAAGTTATTCTCTTACTGTAAGCCGGATAGTTTGTCTATGAGAGTTCAAATTGTGTCGCAATCGATATAGGAATGTTCGATTATCTAATGTGTAAGCTATAGGCCTATATCATTCAAATACTTGATTCGTGTTGAAAAACCGTGAGAGGTTCTGTATTTGTTGAAGGAATATCTGTCTCTTGTCTACTGTTTTTCTCGTATTTTTCAGGATCAATGTTGTCTAATATCGGTGGGAAGAAGACATCTTCCTTTTTGGCACGGGTTTCCACATCTTTACTATATCTACGCATCGCCAAAGGGCTAAATATTGATTGTGCCCTCTTTTGTTCTCTAACTTGAATCGCATTGAATAAAACAGCAAGGAATGCAAGACCAGTTGTAAGGTAAAATGACGTTAGGATTTTGTAAATCCAACGAAAACTTTTCGTGGTCCCATTTGTTGCAACAAAATCTCCGAAACCGATCGTACTCAGTGAAATAAAACAGTAGTAATGTGCGTTCTCAAAATTCCAGTCGCTTTCAATATGCCAAAAGATAATTGCAGGTATTATGACAATTAATGTGTACACAGCAGAAGCAAGCATGCTCCAAGAGAAATATTTTCTAATTTTCACAGATGTTATGCCAATATTCTGTAGGTATTCGCTACATGTTGCCGCCAACCTACGAAAATATTTCTTGAAAGCTTCGCTTATTTCGCTTAAAAGCCATGCATTTAGAGGTATTCCAAACAAAGCAAAAACAATGCAGGCTGTTCGGCCAACAGGTGTACTAGGTGACATGTGACCATATCCTATAATGTAATAGAAGTATTATCATTTAAATTGAGAATCATAAAGACTTCAAAGGCATAAATTGTTGTTACTGGTTTATTCCAAACGTTTCGCCGGTTAGGGCTTCATCAGTGGACTAACATCGTATATTACAAAGCAACGTATATAAGACAAAGGCCTGTTACGGTCGAACGATTATGCATTGACTTGTCTTACACATCTGTATGTAAATCTTAGTAAAGTTGTAGGCGAACTATTAACGCATATTATCATGCATATTCCTATATATGTATATGTGTAATATGTGGGTGTGGATATTTACACATATCCACACCCACATATACATATACATAAATGTATATGTATATGTGTATATGTTTATGTATATGTATATGAAATAATTGAATAAGTATTAATGTAATCGGGTAGAATGTAGTTTTGTATTGTATGGATATCTTTTTCGAAAAAAGAAGAATATGTATATATAATCAGTTTTTTGCCTGTGTGGGTTTAACTATGGCCATGCGCACTTATAAAAATTGCGAGTATGTATATACATGTTCTTCCAACGTGTGTATGTCCTAGAATATGTAAACATATAACAAGGCAGACAGTAGTGCAAAGGCTGACAAAGATGAACACAAAATGTACACAACACGTTTCAGGATGTTGATAAGATAGAAATTGGTATAATTTCTGGAGGGGAAACTGGAGGGGAATAATGTGAGAGGCAGCTATGTTAGCAATGCAAGTCAATGCACCACTCAATTACGTGTTGAAGTGGATGTGATGGCAGGCATTTAACCATGTAGGACTACTTATTCTTCATATTACTGAAATATTTGACACCACAATTCAAATTCAAATTCATTTATTCACTCACATATTAATATTAACACGAATACCTGAAACCAAGAAATCAAAGCTTGTTAAAATAGTCCGGTTTGAATAATACAATGAAAAATAAAATTATAAGACAAATCTAAAAAAGCATTACAGAAATTCAAAACAGTATATCAAATGACCTATATATTGTATGAGTTGTAAAATATATTCGTTCAGCTTGATTTAATATATACTAAATGCAATATAGTGAGTTGGTACAAACCCCTTACGCTTAAAGAGTGCACCAACATTTTTCGCAATAGTTTTGCATGTGTGTTCAATATGAACATTCCAATCGCTCATCATCCAGAGAGCTTTGTGGCACTCTACACGTGACAGCTTCACGGTTAGACTCGCATTCATTAAAGAAACTTACTACACTCTACCATGAGTTAGATAACTTCTGAACCACTCCAAAGCATTTCCATGGACACCGTAGTGGGATAACTTTTGTAGGAGAATCCCATGGTCTACAGTGTCAAAGGCCTTGGGGTAGTCCAGAAAAAATGTCCACTGTATGCATCTTTTTGTCAAGTGCAGTAGTTACCTTTTCAACTAAATTTAGGTTTGCCTGAGTAGTTGTGCTGGGAATCACTTTCGTAATTTTCATTTGGTTAGAAACGGTTCCAGACATGAGAGACCGATTAGATATATGAGCTAGGGGTATCATGATTTAAAATACATTTTTTTTTAAATGGCGTTCGGAACATTATCAAATCCTGGACTCTTTTCTTAGATTTTAATTTACATATTATTTCAATAACCTCATTATTGGTCACAGGAAAAACAAACATAGATTTGTCATTTGGAGCACCCAAGTAAACGCTATGTAACTTGGAAGTTACCGGTATGCCACCAGCAAAATCTGAGCCAATATGAGAGAAAATATGATTAAATTCATTGATTTTTAAAGCATTTAGTTTGGTGTTAAAAATATTCCGAATAACCTTCCATGTGTCTTTAGAATCATTAAGAACACTCTGGAATTAGTAATCCTTTTAGCGACATGTATTTTTAAAATTTACATACAAATTTTTTGTTGTATAGACGTATTTACACCTAACATGGTCATTTGAATTAAAGAAGGCACACTGAAGTTTAGCAAACACCGGGTACTGATCAGACACGTCAGTAACAATAATCCCTGTTTCAGGGAAGGGTGGATATTACTAAGAAATATTAACGATAAGACTGGCTGATTATTTTACAACACGTGTTGAATTTGTAATCAAAAACAAAACTTTATTTTACCTACTTCATTTACCAAAACCAATGTTATATTTACATACTTTTCTCATATTATAATAAAGGCACGTCACTCGAGTCGTGTGCAGGTAATTCAAATATGTGTGGGCAGAGAAACCGTGATGAGTTGATTGGCCGAGCGGTTACGAAGTCAGGGGAACCGTTGTATCACCCACTAATGTAACAATCAACCACTAATGTAACATTAACCACTGCTGTAACAAAAATCAACCACTAATGTAACATTAACCACTATTGTAACAAAAATCAACCACTGTTGTAATAATTCATTAACCACTATTGTAACAACGATTTAACCACTGTTGTAACAAAAATCATTACCACTATTGTAATAACAATTTAACCACTAATGTAACAATGTACAATATATAGTAGTCTCTAAGCCTAAACCTTATGTACATTGTCATATTAAAAACAAATTTCACATATTTTAATTTTTTATATAGAGGTTAAAGGTCAGATTCTAAAAAGGTCTAAGACATTGTAAATATTAGTAAATATTTTTTCTGAAGTTTGATTGATTTGATTGATTGATTGATTTATTTATTTTCCACATAATGAACAAAAACAAACATATACATGATCAAACATATTCAAAAAAATCTATGTGGATGGAGACCACAATAAGTTTAAAAAAAAACTTTAAGATGTGGCCACCATTAAAATAAAAATAAAATACAAAAACTAAAAAATAAATAAACAGGTAGTCTGGTTTCTATTTTAATACATAAGTTAGAAGGCTTAATTACCATACATCGAGACCAGATATCGTTTGATATTAAGTTTAAAAGAAGAAAAACTGGGTAAAGATTTAAAAAAGGGGTCAAGGGAATTCCATAACTTAGGT